AAGATCGTTTTGTATTGTTTAAACAGGAATAATTATAATTTATTGTTATGAAATTGTTATGTATTATTAAGACTCGTATTTTTTACAATAATAATATAAAAATAGATGTTTAACGCGATGCTGATAACGAATATATGTAAAACAAATTTAATCACAAACTCAATAGCCGCAGCAAGAATTTTTGTGGCCTTTGTGAATTACAACCGTGGTATGGATATATTAAATTTACTATAAATTTAACTAACTGTGTATATACCTGAAAATGAGTTTTTAATTCGAAACCGGTCGTTCATTAAAAAATATAATAATACTCCAGGCTAAGCTCTTATTTATTTATATATTAATTTATAAGTATTAACCATTAAATAATTTTTGATTTTGATTTAATTTTTTATTATTTTATTATTAAATTTACATTATATACGAAACCAATAAAGATGGGCAGATACACAACCATAGTAAAATATTCTTATATAATCTTTAATAATACGAGTATTTATTGTTTCTTAATTTAAACGAAATTATTCAAACTAAACATTATAGCGCATCGATTAAGTTCTATAAGTTTATAAAAGAGTAGGTGAAGACAATTACGTCATACGATTTGGATAAGAAAACATTAAATATGTAAAATAGATGCATATCAAATACGATTACGTTCTTAAACTTAAAAAATGTGTTCACCATTTAATACATGTACTTGACTTTGAACTCACGTTTGATGAAATCATCGTACGCGAATAGTGATATTTTGGGCAGTAATAAATATGGCAATAATAAACAGAATACCCGACTTCATATAACACGCCGTACATCGGTATGAGTTTAACTCACCGATCCAGGTCATTTGTTCTTCCGATATATCAGACAAAGCGTTGTGTTCGGTAGTTATGCGTCTATCAGCAATTGCTCCTATGATGATTGTCGGCGTTATCATGTCGATACCGACTTTCAAAGTGAAAACATACGTCGCCATCAATGCCATGATCTGCATAGAGCAAATTCAAGTATTAAAAACGATTTTTCGGTAAATATTTTACTCACTGATTTATATCGAGTTAAATATTATTTTTATTACCTGCGCTAAAGTGGATTTGATTCCATAATTGCTAAGATTGATGTCCTTTTTGATCGACAGTCTTGAACACCTCATTTTTCTAAATACAAAATATACGATCACGCGTTATATTACATGTAGATTTTCAGGAAATTTATCTGTGTTTATGTTATTGTATATTATATGTTAATTTACACTATACTTATTATATCATGCTAATCATCATTTATAGATTCTATGCATTCTACACGTCTTTCTGAACATAAAATATCTTCTAAATTTATTATAATATCAATGTTTTTCTTTCTTCTCAAGGCTAGTTAAATTAGCTGTGGTTAGCAACACTTTCGAATACTTTTCAAACTAACAGGGAGCATTAATTTTTCGAGTTTCAAGATTTTCACTTTGATATTATTATTGTTAACAAGTAAACAAAAACCTTGAATCAATTTAATTTAAAAAACACGACCGTTAATTGTGTCATAAACAATTCTTAATTCTTAATTTTTACCTACTTAAGCCAATAATTATTACTCATCTATAGATTATTTATATATATTTTTAAACAACTTAGAAAATTGCACTTAAACATTATCAGTTGATGATATCTATTGCATATGGAATAACTTCAAATATTAAAATTAAAATGATATAAATTATAAATCGATAATAATATAATTAAATCGTATAATTTCAATTAAATCTATAGTAAGTGAAATCGAATTCTGACAAAGAATTCAAAGATTATAACGTTTACAACTCTTGCACGCAAATATTTACTTGAGGTTTGTATAAATCCACGTCGATATAGCCGATTGTGAATTCACTAGTCAACTAAACCATAGAGACCAACAACTAAAAAAATAAATGACGATTTGTGTATGAAAGAGAAATTTTGTAGTAGGAAATTATGTAGTAATAGGTGCTTCACACTTAATCTTGCCGTCGAAATTTCAATTGGAGGGATTAATATGTAACGTAACTAAACCATTTTTTTTTTTTTTTTACTTACGAAACAAGCACATTCGAAATATGCAACATAATACGCATAATATGCGTAAGTTAGGAAAAAACTTGAGGAGTTATTACCGCGTGATTAAGCCCGTCCGTATACGTTTTCTTAATTCCGTATAACGTAATTATTAATATAAATTACTAATAATTATATACAAGTGGGATTTTTCACATTTATAATTCATCTATAATTATTTTTTATTTTTTATTTACATCCTATGAACTTGCGAAAAAAGTACAAAAGGAATAAAAAAAATAAAAAGAAACTGTTAATGGTTACTAAAAACCGTTGTTAAAGGTCGCATATTTATTATATAATTTAAAATTATGGTTTACATAATTCAATTATGACTATAGTTAAAAGATCAATAAACATGATCAAATGTCGTTAAGTCATTGATAATTATCATAAATTAAGTAATCACAATTAAAATACTGTATTCCGATGTATAATTAGGTTATAAATTTATATATAAGGCACAGTAATACATATTCAAATGATCATAAATATAGGCAATATTAATTGTATTTAATTATAATACTTCGTCGTTGTGTGATATTTTGTTTTTAAATTGTTTGTTGTTTACTTTTTGTATTTTTACATTCACCAAAAAAAAAAAATAAATAAATAAATAAATAATATAAAATTACATAATTAAATTATAATATAAAATTTAAAATATTTAAAATAATAAAATATTATATGATATACATTTCTTGTATTTTGTTTTGCATAGCCCTAATAATAGAACTTTACGTTATGAAAATGAACATCTATCTATCTTTGATCATGATTCTAAGTTCAAACAATTGCAAATAATATTTATTCCAACCATTTTTGTATAGTACTGTTGCACTAGGTCTTCCCTACTGTGTTCAGAACTCTGCATTTGGGTGAAAAATCAACACCTAACATTGAACGAGTATAGTAGTTTAGACTATTTTTCAATCGAAAAACACAATTAATCATAATTGTTTGGTGTAATCTGTAATAAATTGTATTAATACTAAAACTGATTTATAGATGAAAATGGAAGAGTGTTTTTTAATATAACAATCGATATTGATCGAAGAGATATTTATACCAGTAACGAACAGTCTGAAGGATGAAATCATTGTAGACTTTTTCGGTGCATGAGAGTGTCTCTAATAATAAGAGACGTTCTCTTTCACTAAGTTAATAAATATAAAAATTGGCTCAAACAGACTTCATAAACGAAGAAAATGATTCAATGCAAGTGTGAGTGATTTAATTAAGTATACAAATTAGAATGAAATATGAATTTTTCATGGAAAAACCTTAGAATTTTTTGTAGACAATCAATTAACTGAAATGTTCAACTAGGAATATCATGTTAGAACGTTTTATGTTCTATACATTTTTGAATTTTCAGTCATACAGATGTATTCACATAAAAAATTTGAAAAAATTAGTTTTAAAACAACATTAAAATCTGGCGGTCACAATCGCGTAGAACACTATTCTTGGCCGTATCAAATGTAAACAAATCAAACATATAAATTAATTAAACAACCTTTTGGAAACCATAAAAAAGAAATGAGAGATACACGACGGGACATGACGCGTGCAATAATAAAATTAAATGTGTTGCAGTATGTGCATTATACGTTTACGAATATGTGTGCGATGCAATACACATGTGATGTATTATCGCAGTCGTGCGGCGGCGCTTAATGTACAATTACACAATGCGCTAGTTAAGATAGTAATAATTTATTACCAACACTTAGCATGACGGTCGTTCGAAGCTAAATTTCGATTTTCGATGCGCGTTCGCTCGCGAGATAAAACCGTACCTACACTCGGGATGATATCGAACTCAAAGAGTTTTGTATAGGTACTGGTTTTGGAAATGTGTAGTAAACGATTGTGTTACATTATGTGTGTACCGTATATTCATAAAAACGTTTCTGAACGTTAAGCCGAACCGTTACATAAGACGTTTTGATCGATACGAACTGTGCATTTCACATATTCTCGTACGCATTCCATGGTAAAGTCGTCTTAAAAGCGAATCCACTGTTTTGCTGTCAAGCTACCAGTCATGATGTCTTTGGATTTTCGCACGTGCGTGTTTAACAAATGTTCGACCGACGAAAAGCCGCGAGGAAGCCAAACGAATCGGAAGATAATATTTGCCGACGAGAAATACGATGTCACTTTCCGTCGTCTAATCGGGCGGCCGCGTGATTTGCAATGCGCGCAACGGGCACCGAAACGTAATTCGACGGTGAAAAACACGTCGTGTTGTCTGGGAACCGGCCGTGCGCATTGTGTAGATTACGCTCGCCGCGGAGAGCAAACGAAAACAATGAAATGAATTAAAATGGTTTGCACGCGGTTTAAACGCGAGCTCTGCGGGACTTACGAGAGCGGAAAACCGCGTGCGCTACCATCTCGGAGTACACCGTACATGCACGCGTACGTATTCGTATTATACCGTGTGCTCAGCACAGTGGCGTATATAGGTTTTCATTTCGGAGGGGGCCGATTATGTATTTGATTTTTGGATGGAATAGAAGGAGGAAGCATACTATTACGGAAAAAAAATTACTTTAACGCTATAAGACTTCTCGACTGTCTTTACACCATCAGAGAAATAAGAAACTCAATTTTTTTTATTGGTTTATTATCTTTTAAAATTATAAAAACTACATTGTAATAAACACATTTTTTATTAAAGTCACTCAAAATTAACCACATATTTTCTTAAAAGAATAAACATATTTTATAAACATGACATTTTTAATTATCGCATAAGAAATATTCTCAGTGTCGCGACAAATTTTCGGAAACCTCCAGCATTAAGACATATCCATGTTAAAAATAACAACCTTTAACAATGGTGTTTTTCATTTCGCAGGGGGCCCGGGCCCCCTCGGCTTTCCCATAAATACGCCCCCGGCTCAGTAATACTGGGGCGCCGAAAAATGCCGGCTTTGCGAGTTCTAAGTGGCTACGTATTTTCTTCAAGAAAAATATGTGTTCAAAAGAGAATTATTTATTATTGTCTAACTTCGGTTTTTGCAATAACAAACATTGGTCAACAACTCGTATATATTTAAGGTAAATAATTATACACTTTTTGTCGGCATAAGGTTTATTCTATAATATAGTATGAAGAATAATTCGACAAAATTGTATTTTTTACCGATTTCAGTAAATAAAAGTAACAATAAACTACTTCCAGAAAATTTCAACAATATAATTAACACATTATTTACAATAGAGAATAATTTGAAAAGGAATAAGTTAATAATATGTTAATATTATTCTTTAAAATAATGAACCAATTGTTCTGATCTTTTAAATTGACGAAAAAAAGTAAATACATGATTATTAGCTTTATAATAATAAGTTTTAAATGTTATAGGTAGAATATAAAATAAATGGTAATAACAAACATATAAGGTTGGACTGATTTAAATGATTGATAACGATTAAAATTCAAAATTCATTCACGCTTTTACAATTATGTTAACTTTTTTTATTTTACATTACAAATATGTTGTAGTGGCAAGTGATGAATGGCCAGACAATTTAAGAAATAAGGCTTCGCCAGTTAATGACTGTATTTATCAAACTGAGGGAATGAAAGTAAGGCTAGTCGCTAACATGCAATTTTCAGTTGCACAAGAATTTAATCGCATTAGTGACTTCCACAGCGTTAAATGACGATAAGCTCACATGTAACTGATCAATTTGGCCAACTAATAAAATTGTGTTTTGTCACAAATCGTTCGATTGCGCGATTACATTATATCATTGATTATAGATAGTATAGATAGCTCACTGGATGGTTTTTCGATGGCGTAGAATATAACTGCCGGTAGATAGCGATAAAAGAAATAAATTTATTTAAATTGATATTTATAAAATAATCCCGTATAGCTCCGTATCGAACCAATGTTGGTGTGCGTCGGGTGGGAGAAACAGATAATTTTCTATTACTTATTAGATAAGAATATCATATCCGATGCGCGACGGGCGAAGACAAATAGGCCGAGCTGTTTCCGTACCATCGCATCGTAATCGTTGTTTATTATATATTTTGTATTATAATTTATTTATTTAATAGAAATTAGTAATTATAATATTTATAAAGTATATGCTCGGTACTTACCTCCGTCTTATTGTAATACTTATTATTCTTTGTTATATTTAATTTAATTGATTTCTGATAATTACAATTTTTAAAGTGAATTTTTTTTTTATTATTGTATTCTAAAATCTCTTATTAGTCAGTTTAAGAACATATTTTTTCGTAAACTTGAATTTCATATAATTTTACACCTTGTGTACATAAGTAAATGTGATCTAAATAAAAACAAATTAAGCATGACTTCAATTAACTTATTGTTATACAAAAATTATTGATTTACAATTTTTAAAATATTTTAGAAAATAATTATTATATATATTAATTATATTAATTAATATATATTTACGATATTTATTGGCATCTAAATTATGTAACTGAAGTCCGGGAAAAAAGAAAGTTTTTTACCCCCAAATTTTACACCCACGATGAGTACTTGTATGAAATATGCACCTATAAGATCTGTGGACGTTGAACGGTCGTTTAGTACTTACAAAATGATATTAACTGAAAAAAGAACCAACATGACCCCACAAAATATGGAAATGTATTTTGTAATTAAATATTATGAAAACAAAAAATAATAGTTTTTTTATATTTAAATATTTTTTTGATTTAATTTGATGTTGAAAGGTTCAACATTTCTATTTTATTATTTGTTTAAACTGTTTTAAAAACATATAATGATATTTTTTTTATATACTTAAATATTTTGTTGATTTAATTTGATGTTGAAAGGTCCAACACTCCTAATTTTGTTATATTTGTTATGTTATAAATTTATTAAGTTTGTAGTTGATAAAGTAATATAAATTTATAATGCATATTTGAGCATATTTTTCATTTATTTGTGTATATTAATGCATATTTTGACCCTTTTTCTTTGCATATTTGCATCATATTTGCCACATTTTAAGTGCATATAATTCCGGTCTCTATTTATAATCAATGATATTACATGCAATAATTGTGTATCCCATTACAATACGTGTGTACAAATTTAACGCCACCGCCACCGCGGCAGTGTGTGGGGACCTTAAATCTTGTACACTACGTACAAAGATAAAAACCAGTTTACAATAATCAAATACAGATCTATATAGTGAGTTTCTTTTAAAAATAAACGACTGAAGATTATTAATTTCCCACATTGCGCCGTCGCTAATCAACGCGACTATAATGATTTTAACGATGCCGACCACAACTAACTTGCGCCCGCAGCGCTACATAACGTTACCGACCAAATGTACGCCACCGAAAAACCATCCAGTGAGCTATCTATACTATCTATAATCAATGATTATATGTATCGTAATGTGACATGATAGTATAACAGTTACACTTGTCAGTGCGGTGTGTTGAAAATGTTTCGCAACTATCGCAAAATTGAAAATTGTATGTCAGCGACAGAATTTAATCTATTGCAAGTTTAATACAATAAGCATAGCTTAACATAGCACTCCTGCTCTCTTCATCATTTTAAGGGATAGGAGCATTAATTTTCTTATTGATGATTGCATACGAATATAAGGGCCCGTCCCCGGTGGTACTGCGATACCGGGTCAACCCGTGGTGGAGTAGGAGCAAGCCCCAAATCTCCACCATTTTTCAAAAATTAGTTTAACATTTGAACACTCGGTAAGTGTATATCAGATGTTA